GGGTTTTTGAGATAAAATAAGTTAATTTTCATAAACCTCTTGGAGCAGTTTCTGGCCCATGGTAAGTACTACCTACATGCTTATTAAATATCCTTATTTCTTTTTTGGAGGTTTTTAAAAAATATTTTTCTATATCTATGGCTATACCCTCCTGCTAGAACCTAAGGATACTGAATCTATGGAGCATATTCAAGACCTGTGACTATTCCATGTCAGACGTGGAAGAGTAACAGAGCATTGCTGCGCATTAAGTGTGTCGTCTACAAAACGGTGCAAGTCCCAAACGCCTACCCTTTGGAGAAGAGAGTGCAATCTCTAGAGTGTGACCGCACCTTCAAGCACTCGAGTGGACACAGGCACATGCACACATCCCTCTTGATACTTCTGGGAATTTGGGAGAGTTTTGATGGGCAGTCTATAAAGTCAAACTATCCTATATTAAAATATGTTCCTTTAAAAAAACGCAAAGCCCACTATGCTCATGAAGAACTTGAAGTTAAATCACAAGGTATGGACATGACTGGTGAGGTGAAGACTCATCTCATACAGTTTGTGTTTAATGGAGATTCTGCACTAACCGCCCCCCACACACAAAACCTTTCCAAATCATCCTGTCAGAGATATACCTTCACTTCAGAGAATAATTCCGTCCAACTTAGAGATTTTGTTGTTTCTGGTAATATACCACAGCATCTCGCCTAAGAGTTTGCTTATTACAGATCAGAACACATTTGAACACCAGGCTTTACTTGCAGAATACATGGACGGTGATGCCATCAGGCTACTACCAAAGGACCCTTCTTCCAGTGTCTCAAATACATGGATTTTATAAATAAGAAACATTTCTGATTAATCGGCGTTGTAGGTTCAAGTAAAAAAAAACTGGCTAGAATTCTAGTCTTCCTACTTAATTTCTTAATGATTCTTGGTGTCCTTGTCAGAAAACTGTTTTTTTGTTTGTTCTGAGACAGGCTTGCTCTGTCTCCCAGGCTGGAGTGCGGTGATTTGATCTTGGCTCACTGCAACCTCTGCCTCCCAGGTTCAAGTGATTCTCCTTGCCTCAGCCTTCTGAGTAGCTGGGATTGCAGGCGCCCGCCAGGCTAATTTTTGTATTTTTAGTAGAGACGAGGTTTCGCCATGTTGGCCAGGCTGGTGTCAAACTCCTGACCTTGGGTGATCTGCCCTCCTTAGCCTCCCAAAGTGCTGGGATTACAAATGTGAGCCACTACACCCGGCTGAGAAAATTATGTTTTGAAGTTCACTTTACTTTGAATGAGTCCTTTATCTGGAATTGTTCCATACATAGTTTGAATTTATTTAACAGCCCAGTTCTTATGCCCCTTGGAGATTTTATAGTGGGGTCTTTGAAGGAAGCGGGAAGTAGGATCTCATCAAATGACTCTAGATGGTAAAATACACGTTGTCTCCAGTCAGCAACTATCAATCTTGGATGTACAAATAGCATTAAATGCCATCAATAATCCAAGTGAATACTAACGGAATCATGATTCAAAGTAAGCTAAACAGAATCCAAGAACAGATAAAAATGCACCTTCGTTGGGGACAGTGTGGCCTAGGTAACCGACGGGTTATTGCCCTGATGAGAGGTGAGAGGTATACCATCCCAGGACGGAACACTCACCCGCCTGTCCTCAGAGTTGAAATGAGATGCCAACACTTTTTTTTTTTTTTGAAACTAAATACATTTTAATAGAAAACAAAATACAAAATAACTCTTTTCAGAAAACAGAAATATTTAATCCTTTTTCCACAAATTAGAACTTGCTTTATCCTCAGAGCATAGTTTGATATGCGTGCGTACATACTTACGATTCATTTCACAAAGTGTTCATTAGACTGGTATTGCAGTGCAGGACGTGGGAGCAGTTCATTGCAGGAGAAAAAGACGTGGAAAAAGCCACACCTCTGAATGGTGATTCGGAAATTCAACATTTTTCTAATTCTATCTTGTTACTTATTACTCCAAATTATTCTTTATCATAATCTTTCTTTTGAGGGGAGAGAATTATTAAGAGAAGTGCAGCTATGGAAAGAATTTTTCTTTCCCACCATCACTGCAGGAGCCCAAAATGTTCTCAATCAAACCCACCCACCCGCTTCCAGAAACATGTCAGCCGGAGTGATCAATCTGTCACCCGAAATTTCCCTTTCTCCCAATACACTGTGCTACCAAATTCTCTGAATTCCCTGAACCTCAAAATTCCAAGTATCAAAGCCAGTGCCAGGAGTCAAACCTGAAAGATTAAAAGCAGAGAAGGTGCCCTCTGCCAGTGCTAGGTTTCCTCATCTCAATAATAATAATAATTATAATTATAATAACAATAATTAAAAAAATCCTGGTTCTCTGTAATTACGGAAAAGGAAAGACTATTTGCCAGGATCATCCCCTCCCCTTTCCTCGTTCCCGCCCCGCATCCCTCTGCCAACAAGGACTTCCCTCGCACCCGAGGGCTGGACCACGCGTGACCCCTGTGGCACCGCTTCTCCTGAGGGTGCTCTACAGCCACCCTCTAACCAAACCCAGGCCCGGTCAGATGGGGAGAATGAGGCAGAGACAGGAAGGTGCTCGCATGCGCGAGGTCACGGTAGGATCTTCATGAGGACTTGTGAGTGACCTCCAGGGCATCCTAATTATTGGTCACTCATCATTGCCTCGCTTCTGCCCCCCTCCCCAACCTTGGCCTTCAACACTGCGGGGCTGAGTGATGGGGGACCTGCCCGGAAGGAGGGCCCAGGAGAGAGGGGAGGAGGGGGCTCTTTCACAGTCAATGATTCAATCTCAGCTCATTAAAGGATTGCAACTGGAGGCTTTCCACCGTTACCCCAGTCCGTTCCCACAAAGTTAAAAAATTAATGTTCCTGATTTTCTTGTGTAATTCCAGTCACCAGAAGAAGGTTACAGGCCATGAACTGCACGCTCAGGACGTTGCTCATCTGCCCGGTGTACACGCCCACGAGCTCGCTGGAGGAGCCGTCGGCAGGTGCACTGCCGTAAGTGTTCCTGATGTCCCAGACGCGCACCGAGTTGTCCATGGAGGCAGAGGCAATCAAGCCGCTGTCTGGACTGAAGGTGAGGCTGGTGATATTGTCTGTGTGGCCTCTCAGCTCTTTATAAAGGGTCCCAGAGGCCAAGTCCCACAGCTTCAACCGCTGGTCCTCGCCAGCAGATGCCAAGTACTTACCGTTGGGAGAGAAGGCTAGAGAAAGCACGGGGCCGCGGTGGCCTGTGAAAAGCCTCACCGAGTTCCCCTGCTGAGCACTCCACAGCCGGACGGTCTTGTCGGTTGAGCCCGTGGCCAAGTAGTTTGAATTAGGGTGGAATTTGACACAGTCCACATCTGCCAGGTGTCCTGCATATATCCTCAGCGGGTACGTCCGATCAAATGACCACAGCCTGGCGGTGCGGTCGTGGGACCCGCTGGCGAAGTACAGGCTATATGGACTGATGTCCAGATCCCACACAGGATAGGCATGTCCTTGGTACAACACAGTGTTGGTGAAACTCCCCAGATCCCAGTATCTGATGGACATGTCTTCAGAACAAGAGAGCAACCCTGAGCTGTCCGCGAGGAACCTCGTGCTGTACACTGGTCCGCAGTGTCCCCGCAGTATCTTCATCTCTGTGCCTGCATTATCATCCTCATCATCCTGGGAACATTGGGGTGGGGTGGGAAAATAAACACAAGAAAAAAACGTTCAGTGGTCTGACAAGGAAAACAAGTCCAGGAGAAAAAAAAGCAGAGAACAGAGACTGCTTGGGAAATAGCATCTATCCAGCAAATGACAGTGGCCTTGCCCCAGGAAGATAACTCATAACTGAATAAAAGTCTCTTACGACTTACAAATTGCTCTCCTTAAATTCACCTTGCAGCTCAGACTATATCAGATTAAAAGATGCAGAAATGCAAGGCCATTACAGAGTGATGACTGTGGACCTTACCCTTCGATTGAGGATAGCTTGTATGGTTACTTCTGATGCGTGCCATTTGAAAATGTTTACTTTCGAATTTCTGTGAGGCTCTTAGATTCTTCTATTCTATGGGCATTGCCTTCATCCGTCAGTTTTAGCTGCTTTATAAGCCATACTGCTCTCTGTTTTTACTCCATTTAACTGACAACAATATTTTGTCAAGTCCTGACATTAGTCCCTTACTCCCATGATGGGGGTTAATGATGCATGCAACACATGAAGGCAGATGTGGTATCACTTCAAGAGTTTTGTTTTTTTTTCAGACGGAGTTTCGCTCTTGTTGCCCAGGCTGGAGTACAACGTTGTGATCTTGGTTCACCACAACCTCCGCCTCCTGGGTTCAAGCGATTCTTCTGCCTCCGCATCCCAAGTAGCTGGGATTACAGGCACGTGCCACCACGCCTGGCTTTTTTTATTTTTAGTAGAGATGGGGTTTCTCCATGTTGGTCAGGCTGGTCTCCAACTCCCGACTTCAGGTGAGCCACCCGCCTTCCAGTGTCTCAAATACATGGATTTTATAAATAAGAAACATTTCTGATTAATCGGCGTTGTAGGTTCAAGTAAAAAAAAACTGGCTAGAATTCTAGTCTTCCTACTTAATTTCTTAATGATTCTTGGTGTCCTTGTCAGAAAACTGTTTTTTTGTTTGTTCTGAGACAGGCTCGCTCTGTCTCCCAGGCTGGAGTGCGGTGATTTGATCTTGGCTCACTGCAACCTCTGCCTCCCAGGTTCAAGTGATTCTCCTTGCCTCAGCCTTCTGAGTAGCTGGGATTACAGGCACCCGCCAGGCTAATTTTTGTATTTTCAGTAGAGACGAGGTTTCGCCATGTTGGCCAGGCTGGTGTCAAACTCCTGACCTTGGGTGATCTGCCCTCCTTAGCCTCCCAAAGTGCTGGGATTACAAATGTGAGCCACTACACCCGGCTGAGAAAATTATGTTTTGAAGTTCACTTTACTTTGAATGAGTCCTTTATCTGGAATTGTTCCATACATAGTTTGAATTTATTTAACAGCCCAGTTCTTATGCCCCTTGGAGATTTTATAGTGGGGTCTTTGAAGGAAGCGGGAAGTAGGATCTCATCAAATGACTCTAGATGGTAAAATACACGTTGTCTCCAGTCAGCAACTATCAATCTTGGATGTACAAATAGCATTAAATGCCATCAATAATCCAAGTGAATACTAACGGAATCATGATTCAAAGTAAGCTAAACAGAATCCAAGAACAGATAAAAATGCACCTTCGTTGGGGACAGTGTGGCCTAGGTAACCGACGGGTTATTGCCCTGATGAGAGGTGAGAGGTATACCATCCCAGGACGGAACACTCACCCGCCTGTCCTCAGAGTTGAAATGAGATGCCAACACTTTTTTTTTTTTTTGAAACTAAATACATTTTAATAGAAAACAAAATACAAAATAACTCTTTTCAGAAAACAGAAATATTTAATCCTTTTTCCACAAATTAGAACTTGCTTTATCCTCAGAGCATAGTTTGATATGCGTGCGTACATACTTACGATTCATTTCACAAAGTGTTCATTAGACTGGTATTGCAGTGCAGGACGTGGGAGCAGTTCATTGCAGGAGAAAAAGACGTGGAAAAAGCCACACCTCTGAATGGTGATTCGGAAATTCAACATTTTTCTAATTCTATCTTGTTACTTATTACTCCAAATTATTCTTTATCATAATCTTTCTTTTGAGGGGAGAGAATTATTAAGAGAAGTGCAGCTATGGAAAGAATTTTTCTTTCCCACCATCACTGCAGGAGCCCAAAATGTTCTCAATCAAACCCACCCACCCGCTTCCAGAAACATGTCAGCCGGAGTGATCAATCTGTCACCCGAAATTTCCCTTTCTCCCAATACACTGTGCTACCAAATTCTCTGAATTCCCTGAACCTCAAAATTCCAAGTATCAAAGCCAGTGCCAGGAGTCAAACCTGAAAGATTAAAAGCAGAGAAGGTGCCCTCTGCCAGTGCTAGGTTTCCTCATCTCAATAATAATAATAATTATAATTATAATAACAATAATTAAAAAAATCCTGGTTCTCTGTAATTACGGAAAAGGAAAGACTATTTGCCAGGATCATCCCCTCCCCTTTCCTCGTTCCCGCCCCGCATCCCTCTGCCAACAAGGACTTCCCTCGCACCCGAGGGCTGGACCACTCGTGACCCCCGTGGCACCGCTTCTCCTGAGGGTGCTCTACAGCCACCCTCTAACCAAACCCAGGCCCGGTCAGATGGGGAGAATGAGGCAGAGACAGGAAGGTGCTCGCATGCGCGAGGTCACGGTAGGATCTTCATGAGGACTTGTGAGTGACCTCCAGGGCATCCTAATTATTGGTCACTCATCATTGCCTCGCTTCTGCCCCCCTCCCCAACCTTGGCCTTCAACACTGCGGGGCTGAGTGATGGGGGACCTGCCCGGAAGGAGGGCCCAGGAGAGAGGGGAGGAGGGGGCTCTTTCACAGTCAATGATTCAATCTCAGCTCATTAAAGGATTGCAACTGGAGGCTTTCCACCGTTACCCCAGTCCGTTCCCACAAAGTTAAAAAATTAATGTTCCTGATTTTCTTGTGTAATTCCAGTCACCAGAAGAAGGTTACAGGCCATGAACTGCACGCTCAGGACGTTGCTCATCTGCCCGGTGTACACGCCCACGAGCTCGCTGGAGGAGCCGTCGGCAGGTGCACTGCCGTAAGTGTTCCTGATGTCCCAGACGCGCACCGAGTTGTCCATGGAGGCAGAGGCAATCAAGCCGCTGTCTGGACTGAAGGTGAGGCTGGTGATATTGTCTGTGTGGCCTCTCAGCTCTTTATAAAGGGTCCCAGAGGCCAAGTCCCACAGCTTCAACCGCTGGTCCTCGCCAGCAGATGCCAAGTACTTACCGTTGGGAGAGAAGGCTAGAGAAAGCACGGGGCCGCGGTGGCCTGTGAAAAGCCTCACCGAGTTCCCCTGCTGAGCACTCCACAGCCGGACGGTCTTGTCGGTTGAGCCCGTGGCCAAGTAGTTTGAATTAGGGTGGAATTTGACACAGTCCACATCTGCCAGGTGTCCTGCATATATCCTCAGCGGGTACGTCCGATCAAATGACCACAGCCTGGCGGTGCGGTCGTGGGACCCGCTGGCGAAGTACAGGCTATATGGACTGATGTCCAGATCCCACACAGGATAGGCATGTCCTTGGTACAACACAGTGTTGGTGAAACTCCCCAGATCCCAGTATCTGATGGACATGTCTTCAGAACAAGAGAGCAACCCTGAGCTGTCCGCGAGGAACCTCGTGCTGTACACTGGTCCGCAGTGTCCCCGCAGTATCTTCATCTCTGTGCCTGCATTATCATCCTCATCATCCTGGGAACATTGGGGTGGGGTGGGAAAATAAACACAAGAAAAAAACGTTCAGTGGTCTGACAAGGAAAACAAGTCCAGGAGAAAAAAAAGCAGAGAACAGAGACTGCTTGGGAAATAGCATCTATCCAGCAAATGACAGTGGCCTTGCCCCAGGAAGATAACTCATAACTGAATAAAAGTCTCTTACGACTTACAAATTGCTCTCCTTAAATTCACCTTGCAGCTCAGACTATATCAGATTAAAAGATGCAGAAATGCAAGGCCATTACAGAGTGATGACTGTGGACCTTACCCTTCGATTGAGGATAGCTTGTATGGTTACTTCTGATGCGTGCCATTTGAAAATGTTTACTTTCGAATTTCTGTGAGGCTCTTAGATTCTTCTATTCTATGGGCATTGCCTTCATCCGTCAGTTTTAGCTGCTTTATAAGCCATACTGCTCTCTGTTTTTACTCCATTTAACTGACAACAATATTTTGTCAAGTCCTGACATTAGTCCCTTACTCCCATGATGGGGGTTAATGATGCATGCAACACATGAAGGCAGATGTGGTATCACTTCAAGAGTTTTGTTTTTTTTTCAGACGGAGTTTCGCTCTTGTTGCCCAGGCTGGAGTACAACGTTGTGATCTTGGTTCACCACAACCTCCGCCTCCTGGGTTCAAGCGATTCTTCTGCCTCCGCATCCCAAGTAGCTGGGATTACAGGCACGTGCCACCACGCCTGGCTTTTTTTATTTTTAGTAGAGATGGGGTTTCTCCATGTTGGTCAGGCTGGTCTCCAACTCCCGACTTCAGGTGAGCCACCCGCCTCGGCCTCCCAAAGTGCTGGGATTACAGGCGTGAGCCACCGCGCACAGCCTCACGTTAGTATTAACACACAACTATTAGTTCAGGCATGGTGGCTCGCATTGTAGTCCCAACACTTTGGGACGCCAAGGCGGGAGGATCACTGGAGCTCAGGAGTTGGAGACCAGCCTGGGCAATATAGGGAGACTCTTTACCAAAAAAATTTAAAAAATTAGCTGGGCATGGTGGCGCATGCCTGTGGTCCCAGACACTTGGGAGGCTAAGGTAGGAGGCGCCCTTGAGCCTGGGAAGTCCAGGCTGCAGTGAACTTTGATGGCACCACTGCACTCCAGCCTGGGGGACAGAGTGAGACCCTGTGCCAAAAAAACCCCAAAACAAAAACAAATACAAACAAACAAAACCCAGAACCATCAGAGGAGTTTAGCCAAAATAAAACCTGGATGTTTTAATAATTAACAGTAAGCTAGAAAGGTACAGTTACTAGTAAATC